CCTAGCATTCCTCCCACCTTAAAAATAGCACGGCCGATAAGGCTGGGGAGGGAGGGCAGAGCCAGCCCCGGGACAGGGAGCACAAGTCACCTCGCTGCCGCTTGAGAGCGTCCCGAAGGGAAAGCCAAAACCTCCCCGCTCTCCAGTGGGCAGCCACACGCTCAAAAACACCCCGGGCGTTAGAGCATGTCATGGCCTGAAAGCACAGCGGGGAGAGGGGCACCCTGCGGAGGGAAGCAGGGAAGCAGAGCGCTTTGCGGGCTGAAGGTTCACGTGGCCACAGACAAACCCATCCCGAGCATTACGGTGCGACAACCAGAATGTCAGACCACGTTACGGCAGTGGCACCGGCCACAGAGCCTTGGCAGGGCTTTGAAATCCTCCTCCCAGGCAAAGCACCCGAGCAGTACCTGTGCTTGCTGGTCCCCTTCGGGGCAGTGCCCAGGCTGGGCTCGGGAGTCAGCCTCCGCCGCTCCTCCAGACCCTCTCCTGGGGCGCTGTCAGCAAAAGCAGCAGCCAGGCAGAGACCCCTCTGTTATAGCCTGCTGCTCCCTTCGTTAATTGAGCCCCTGATCAGCTCGTTAGGCAGCTGTGCGGTGGGGGGCTGTGAGGTTCCCAGCCCACCTGGCCTTCCCCGGGGGCTGCTGCTGGGCTCCAGCACCAGCTAACCCGGCTGCGGGCTCCTAATCCGAGTCCCCCCAGGAAATTAAAGATGATGCAGAATGATTTTATGATCAAAGCGCTTCCAAACCCAGAACGGATATTGCAATTTAACATCGATGTACAAACAGACACGGGAGCTTCCCAAGGAAAGGCCATGCTGTTTTTCAAGACAAATAGCTTGGCACACGGCTGCCCTAAAAATGAGTTACGCCACAATGAGATCTCCGTGTGTAGTTCAGAGGCTTTTAAGAGTACTTGTCATGCAGAGGCACTGGCAGTGCCTGCGCGTACAGCACCAGCACTACCCCTGTAAGGGCATGGCCGAGCCGATCTCTCTCGCTCTCCGGACAGAACGCAGACAGACAGAATCGAGCGCCTCGCCTCCGCATATATAAGTACATAAATTGTAAATCAAGAGGGCTGTTGGATTTTTATTAGCACAAAGCACCTTCCTGCCCAGCAGGCAGCCCATGTCCCCGAATGCTAAAAAAGGGTAGGAACGGGCTCTGGCCTCCTCCGGAGCAAACACTCCCACGCACAGCTCCTGTTCTCAGGGCTCCTGCCTGGCCCCGGCACCTGCAAGTACCGTCCGCAGCTCAGGATTTGGGACTGGGGAATGTGTCCCGGGGCGGCCGAGCCTGGGGTCTCATGCCGTGGGGTAAGGCTGCGTGCCTGTGCCGTCTCCCGCTTGGACCTCTGTGAGGGCAGCGGCTCTCCTGCTGCGCCGGGGCCGGTCCTTGCTCAGGGGGGTGCAGGGGGTCCGTCTCCCCCGGTGCAGCCCGTGCTCTCCCCGGGCCCCTCCATTCGGGCTCTCCTCTCACGCTGCAGCGGGTCCCCACCCTTGCACTGGAGCCCTTTTAACCCCCCCAGCAGCCCCCCTTACCTCCGCCTTCTCTCCTCCCAGGTGGATTTTGAGGATGTGATAGCTGAGCCTGTGGGAACATACAGCTTTGACGGCGTCTGGAAAGCCAGCTACACCACCTTCACCGTCAGCAAGTACTGGTGCTACCGGCTGCTCTCTGCCATCCTGGGCATCCCCCTGGCAGTTGTCTGGGGCTTCCTCTTCGCCCTCATCTCCTTCTGCCACATCTGGGCAGTGGTGCCCTGCATCAAGAGCTACCTGATAGAGATCCAGTGCGTCAGCCGAATCTACTCCCTCTGCATCCACACTTTCTGCGACCCGCTCTTCGAGGCGCTCTCCAAGATCTGCAGCAACATCAGGGTTGCTCTCCGGAAGGAGTTCTAGGTCCCTACAGCCGCCCCAACCACCCCTCGGGGCAGGTTTCCCTGGCTCCGGCAGCGTGCCCGGCCCCGGGGCACACGGACACCCCTGCCCAGGGACCTGCGCAGCGCAGCGGGGCCCTGCGGCAGACCTGGCCGTCAGGGACGCTCCCCAGCCACGCCGGGCTGCCCCTTACTCCACCCCAAAGCCAGCAGCTTTCCAAGAAGAGAAGCCCATCGGGGCCCGTCGAGCGGCCCAGGGAGAGCCCTGTGTCTTCCAGGAGCCCCGGCATCATGCCCTGCTCCGGCGGGAGGGACCGCAGCACCTCCTGGACCACAGCCCTGGGCTGGGACCTGCAGCTCCAGAGGGAGAAGTGAGGGTGCAGAGATGCCGCTGGACAACAGACCAAACCCTGCCTGCTTCTCCATCCCTTCAGTCTGGCGTGACACTAAGAGAAATACTTGCATATGAATCATTATTTGCCGCAAGTAATTGTTGTTGTGGAAGCTTCTGTATTAAATCACGCTACACAAAATTTTTATGGATAGAATAATGAAAACAAACTTTTTTTTCCATGTGTGTTTGCATTTCGGCAAAGCTTTGAAATCCAGATGAATTAGTGCATGAAATGTTGTGTCTGCCTTCTGGGAGTATGGGCTGAGCCTGGGCCACCAGCAATTGCAAAACCATTTGTGGCCATTCAACCCTCACTGCTTAATTACGGGGCGTCGTCACGCCTTGCGGTCTCACTGTCCCTCTGCTCCCCGCTCTGCCCTGCTCTACCTGCCGTCCCGGCGCTGGGGGCGGGCAGCACCACGCCGACCCCTTGGCTCTGCCCCGAGGGAGGAGACCCCCGTCCGACGCGCTGCCTCGCACCCTTCCCTCCAGCCAGTGCCCCCGTGGCACCCCGGCTGCAGGAAGGAGCCTCCCCTGGGACACTGCCCGCTCCCAGCCACACCAGCTCCGGTGAAAACCCGGGGACAAGGGAAAGAAGCCCAATTCGGAGCAATTTCCTCCCCTGTATTGTCAATTCATTTGTTTAGTCCATCTTCCGTGAAGCCGCACGTTAACTTTGAGGCACTTAAAACGCTTTTTTGGCTCTGGCCTTAAGTGCTTTGCTGAATCAGGGCCCAGGAGGTCTCGTTGTTCAGAGGTTATTCTCAATTGTGTTCATGTGCTTCTTTCCCTTGGCTTCCAACAAAGGCTTGGAGCCAAAGTCTTTTCTAGTGCCATGCCAAGGACAAGAAAGAGCCAGATTTTCTCTTGGTGCTCTTCCAATGGCTTGGGATCGTGGACTTCCATTATTCCATAGCAATATAGCACCCATGCTCTTGCAACACCGGGCCTTGAGATGGATGGAGTGATACCAAAAATAAAATAAAATATCTATTTAGATATTTGTAGGGGGAAAAAGGTCTACAGAACCACTTTCTCATGAGCATTTTGTAAAGCTTTTTGTGGGAATAAAAATAATTTAAAACAATACTGGGATTATATTATTTTTAATTTTTTTTGTTGTTGTTGTGCTAGTAGTTCACAGCCTGAGCCCAAAACCCCTCCAAAATTCTGATCTCCCCACGGCAGTGGTCCATGGGCTCCCCGCACATGGAGCCCGCACCGTTCACGTGTCAGCACCTCTGTCCCGTTTTTGACCCTTGTGAAAAGCTTTTCGGCAGCGCATTCGACACCCTTCCACTGTGACCACCCTGGGGCTCCTCTCCCCATCCCCGTTTCGCCGCCGCCCCGGGACGGCGTGGGAGCTCGGCCGTGGGCTGCAGCATCCCTGGGCTGGAGAGCGCAGCATCCCCACGCGTGGGAGCACGGCCCTGAGGCGGCGTGAGCAAAGGCAGGAGCATCCTGCTGCCGTCGCTGGATCCTGCTGGCACCGAAATCACGGGAAAGCTCCCGCCACCTCCAGGCAGAGCTGCACGTCCCCCCCGGCTCCCCCACCCACCAAGGGCTGTGCCACAGCCCGCTCCACGCTGTGGAATAAAGCGCGGTGCGGATCTGAAGTGCTTGGTGCAGTACTCTATAAACAAACCCATCGTCAGGCTGAGCATACTCAGGTCTGGTGGTTAAAGTGGTGTTTCCCGTCGGTTTCCTTCATTTTCTTACTCCAGTGCTCCTTCCGCACTTCCCCTCCCGCTTTCCATCACGGCGCAGTCAGAAAACTTTATTTACAAGTATTTCTTAACAATAAAAAATCCATGCCATGAGCATGACTCTTGTGCGTTACAGAGCAAGAAAATTGCATTGGTGTAAAAGTCTAAATGTGTTCTGCAGTAAACCCAAAGCAAAAGCTTGGCCTCGGGGGACTCAACAGGAGTTTCCCTGTTAAAGCCCACGGAGCCCAGCTGTAACCCCACACGCCTGCCTCGGAGAAGCTTTTGAGCACACGTGTTATTGCACAGGTCCCCCGGCCCTGCAGCCATGCCCGCTCCTGCTGACCCACGTGCGCAGCCTCCTGCAGCACACAGAGCAGAGCTGGGGCGTAGGGGCACCCCGGCGGCAGCGTTGTCTCCTGGGAGGCTTGTCCCCAGCCCTGTTCCCACTGCCCGCCCAGCCCACGGTGGCAGGGCTGCCCTGATCGCTGCTGGCGGTGCCACCAGTGGGGCCAGGCTGGGGTGAACAGGGCTGGCGCTGTGCAGGGATGCAGGGATGCAGGGATGCAGGGATGCAGGGATGGGGCTGACCCTGACCCACGGGGCTGCAAGAGAAGCAAGGGCACCCGG